AATAAGAACCAAGATGCATTATGTAAAGGTACAATTCCCAGTGAGAAATGTAATTGTGTTATATACCTACAATGTACCAATAAAAGAATTTAATAAAGTGCAAAAAAAACCCATTGCCAATATTCAATTGCTTACCTAAATATCCTTTTTCTGTCAAATGTTACTTAAAAGAATAAGATTAAGTGCTTGAAGGAATAGGAATGCAGCAAAAAACTACAGGAGCCCACATAACCTTTTTCTTAAATTTAAATTGTCATATATAAGATTTTTATATACAATCAGTGTGCATTGTAACAGATTGTATTAAAAGTCAATCAAGTTTGTCTAAAATGTTAACCTGGCTGCATAACACATTGGAAAAACAGATGAATTTACAGTAACTTTTGGCCACTTGAATTGTAAGAGTGTCATATACCTACCTAAGGATTATGCTGCATTGTACTACAAATATTGTAGTACTCTTTTTTTCTTTCTTAAAGAAATGGAAAGTGTTTACTATAACAGAGACCTCAACACTGCCCTCTCATAAGGGTTGGATAAAAATTTTTTTTGTCAGTTATTTTAGACTGGCCTTCATTTAAATTATGTTTGTATATGAACTTTATTCTGACCTGTGATCATGTTTCAGGTTAATAAAGAAAAAAGGCTTAAGGACTTTGTTCACTTTCCAAAGCTACTTGTTTACATTGTACACTGCGACCACCTTGCCGCTTTTCATCACAAGCTTGAATATTTAAATTCTGTACTTATATCTGTAACATAACCAGGAATGTCCTGTTTGTGATTCATTATTATGCCTTTTTACAAAAAAATGGCTGTGAATTATTCTAAATGTATTAAATGAGCTTTCCTTCTTTCCACCTCAGGCTTTTTTTTGACTGTTCCTTTCTCAACCAACACAGGCTTTCTTATTAAAAAAAAATCAGTGCAATGACATTTTTTGATGATTTGTCTTGATGGAATCATGTTTAGAGTGCAAAAATGGGGAAAGGGGCCTCTTATTTCTATTAGTCTTTTATTTTATTTTGGTTCCGGGCATTGAACTCAGGACATTGTGCTTGTGAAGCAGGTGGTGGAACCACTGAGCTAAATCCCCGGGTCCTCTATTAGCCTTTTTTTATATTGAATGCTTTATTAGATACCTGTTACTCTGTTCTTCCTTTTTTAGTCAATATTATGTTTGTAGTAAAAGAAAAAATGGTGAGATAATATGGAAAGTCTCAACTGGATGTTCTGGAGACTTTTTTTTCGGATGCATTTGGTTTAAGAGTATTCTTAAGAGTATTCTTAGCAGCGATTTGTAATTACAAGACTGGAAACATGAGTGTCCATAAATTGAGAATTGGACGGTGGTACATCTGTGTAATTTTCATTTGTAGAGTTCAGCCATTTGAAAGAAGGCAGCATATGTGTAAAGTGACCACCAAAAAGCAAGAATCTATTGTTTGAGTAAAATGACAAAAGGAATAAATACGTACAACTACTTGTCTAATCACACTGTAGGAATACAGACACACCAAAAAGCAAAAAACAAAAGCAGGTGAATAGTTACCTTTTCAGGGTGGAGACACAAGTTGAATTTGATCTTTTAGAACTTTAACATTGTTTGTATGTTAACTTTTCAAAAGTGAACTATTAAGTTGTCGGTTTTTTTTTTTTTAGAAATGGTAACTTCAATTTATTCTTTTTCAATTTTGATTAGAAAAAAATCTTCAGAAACATGTTTAGTTTAAATTTAAAACTGGTACTTAATGAAGTAATCTTAAGAGCTTATCTTGAATATAGGTTTATGTTTTCTGGTTGAGTGAATTAATTGGATTGAGCCAGAAATGGCTTCTATTTTAGGAGACACAGAGAAAAGTATTGTACAAGGAAAAGAGAAATACTCGGATGGTTATGAATGGTTATTTGTCTTTGGAATCTGTCTTTGTGGTGATGGTATTTTTTTTCCAGTACCTATTTTAGAGAAGTACCTGAAGTACCTAAAGTACATAAAGAGGGAGATAAAATCTTGAAAATCTAGATTGGTGTGTAAGCAGTGTTGTTCTAAGACCAGCCAATCAAATGTCTCTACTTTTGCTCAGAACCATGTATTGCTCATGGCACCTGAGAAGAATGTCTTCTATCACCGTGGTGTAGTATACAGATAGGTTTGTGAATATAAGTACGGTATTTGTTATGGGCTGAATTTTGTCTTCTCAAAAGTCTTATGTTGAAGCCCTAACCCAGCACCTCAAAATGTGACTGTATTTGGATATAAAGTCTTCAAAGAGGTAATTAAGTTAAAATGATACAAATGATCTGAGCCCTAATCCAATATAAGTGGTATCTTAGAAGAAGAAATTAGGATGCAGACACACACATGTATTCATGATATTGAATAAAGTGACTAGGTCACTTTTCTAATTGTTTTTCCCCCATGGTGCCAGGGATCCAACTCAGTACCTTGTGCACCAAGGCAGGTACAGTGCCACTGAACTAAATCCCCAGGCCTTGGGTCACTTTTGATAAAAGGGCAATTATTAAATACTATGTCAAAAGAGCTCAAATATAGAATATTTGAAAAGAAGTAGAAATTTTTCCTGAAGATTCGGGGGAGGAAAAGACAGTAATATATATTTCCTATTGTTGTGTTATTCAACATTTATTTATTTATTTAGGCAGATTGGAATCATAAACTGATGGGTGGGGAAAAAACTTACAAAGCAACAGGAAGGGCAAGAAAGATGCAGTAATTAAACTATACAAAGTGAAAATAATAGGATAAAAATAGTTTAGTAAGAATTAGATCTCTTTACTCTGATGAGGCACTAGTACAAATTATATGCTAATATTCAACTTTTGATTTTCTGGACTAATAGAAGGGAAAAGAAGTATGAATGAACCCAACCAAAGTAAAAGGTTATTTGGAAAAATTATATTTGATTTTGGGATTCAGCCAGAGGTATGTGAATTGCAGATGTTCATTACCCCTCCCAGTACCAAGTTCTTTTGTAGCATCCCAGTTGAGATGATAAATTAAATTAGTAGAATAAGGCTATCCTGGTATTGCCTGATTACTCTGCAAAACTAGCTTTATACATTCTGCTCAGTATTTTAAATTAAAAATTTATGCTGAAAGTAGATTATAGAAAGGAACTCTTCTCCAGAATGGATGTCTCATCCATTCTGTAATCACAGCTATGTTCCTATAATTTTGCCTTTATTTTTCTTATCCTCTACCCCCCCAAAGCCTTATCTAAGATTCAGCCCAAATTCTAGTATCTGTCCCACTGTTTGAGACCAAATGAATTCTTCTTATTGAAACTTCTTTGAAGTTCTTGTATGCTCAGTAATTATTCTATGAATGTGTGTATTGCTTTCTTAATTGGGTTGTAAACATACATGTACATCTTCATTTTGTGGCTAAAGCATTCCCAGCCAAATTCTGGCCTAGTGGAAGGTGTTAAAAATGAACAAAACAGGTTATTTCGGCCCAATTCACATGACCAAAATGGAGAATCTACTTGAGCCCCTAAAATGAACCTGGTGTTTTGGCTTTTCTCCATATAAATCATTAATGATATTTTATTTTTTTATTTCTTCCAGGTCAATTAAAAAGACACTGGAAAAGTAATTTTTGATTTGTCTGTGAAATAATGTACAGCTTTTCAGAAGGAAAACACTTATGCATCATTTTTGTTAGGAATAATTTTTTTTTACCAGGGATCAAACTCAGGATCTTGTTCTTTTGAGGCAGGCGGGAGTACCACTGAGCTAAATCCCTGGCTCTGTTAGGAATAATTTAGGATATTTGGGAATATTCTATTTCTGAACAAAATAGTTCCAAATAGGATTTTAGTATTATGTGTGATACATATTTAAAAAGAAAAGTGAAATCTTATCATGAATTCAGTCAAATTGTTTTTGTAGTGAATTCATTCAAATTGTTTTCTTTCCAGACCCAAAAATATCAGAGCATTGCCGGCTTTGAGTTTATCCTACAAAAAGGAAAAGAAAAAAATTTTATTTTAAAATATTATTGGTTGTTTTAAGTATTTTATTGTTTTCCTCAGATTTTTAAAAACTCAGCTCCACAGTATGAGAGAAAAGTATTAGCAGGTTATTACAGTGAATCTCTTATCCAAGTCTTCTTAATCCATGTTTTGCCACACTATTTGAAATATAAATCTGAAACTAGATTGTAGAAGAATCATATAAATGGGAGAGCCTCCTAGAAGTGGCCTCTTTGGAAACTTTTAGTGGCTCTCCAATTCTATTTGGAGGCAAATACAGAGAGAAGGTACAGTTTAAGTCTATGGGACAAGAGGGTTAGAAACAGTGCCTAAAAGTAATCTAGCTATCCCCTGGTTTCTAGGCATATACCTTACTTTTACATATGGCCCTAAATAAATGGTGAGATCTTCCATCATAAGAGAAGTGATACAGATGAAAGGTCTCAGATGGGGGCACAAATCTGTACACCTCATAAATTTCATGTAAGAAAAGTTCTCCCTGATTTTTCTCCACCTACTCCCTGTTCATAGACTATCAGCTCTTTAGCAAAAAGAACTGATTTGCTGGGTGCAATGGTGCACACCTGTAATCCTAGCTACTCCAGAGACAAGAGGATTGAAAGTTTGAGGCCAGCCGGGGCAACTTAGTGAGACCCTGTCTCAAAATAAAAAGGGCTGGATAAGAAGCTCAAGTATAGAGTGTCCTTCAGGCTGGCCTTGAATTTACTACAGCCCATGTTGGCCTTGAATTTGTGGTGATTCTTCTACTTTAGACCCCTGAGTGCTGGGATTACAGGCATGTACCACCATAGCCAGCTGAGATTTTAGTCTTAATACCCAAATAACTAGCATCATTACAACTTTTTGAAATCCATAAATAACAGAAATGTTAAAGGAAAAAATTTGAGACATTTTTCTTTTGATCTCTTTTACATACTAGCTTATATTATTGATATTCTTCTTTACAGTTGTCTTTCTTGGCTTTTGAATTTAGTAGTGCTAGGCTGTTTTATATTCCTTTTATATTCTGTTTTATATTCCTTTGTTTTACATTTCATTTCATTTTTTTTTTTTGTGGCTCTGGGGGTTGAACCCAGAACCTTCACACTGAACCACAGTTTTTCTATTTTGAAACAGGGTCTTGCTATGTCTCTCATTGTTTAGACTGGGCTCAAATTTGTGATCCTTCTGTATTAGCCTCCCAGAGGTGTGCACCACCACATTTGGCTACTTTGTCCTTTTTTTTTTTCAGTACCAGGAATTGAACTCAGGACCTTATGCTTGCCAGGAAGGCACAGTGCTACTGAGCTATATCCCCGGCCCTCCTTTGTCTTTTAAATTTTATTTTATTTTTGGTTTTTTGAGACAAGGTCTCACTATGTAGTCCAGGTTGGCCTTGAACTCACTATGTAGTCCATTGAACTTGCAATCCTCCTGCCTCAGCCTCCTGGAGGCTGGGATTACAGGTGTGAACCACCACAACCAGCTATCCTTTGTCTTTTAATACTTTATCAGTGGTGGTGAACCTATGATACAGCGAGCTGTTTATATCATTGAAAGCTCTAAAAGCTTTCCCATCACCACAGGCTTAGCTACTTCCAAAGATAGAGAAATAGCGTTAGGAATGTTAAGTGTAATAATTTATTTGTTCTTTGTTAACATGCATTAAAGTGTTCTGGAACTAAATGCATTTAGGGCAGGAACACTCAAGAAGAAGACCATGAAATAAAACATGCAGTATACCTTTGTTTCTTCATCAAATTCTTCCATGGACTCTATTAACTTCCCAGGTTCCAACTCACCTAGCGGAAAAGGGTAATCGGTTCCCAGGATGACCTTATCCTGAAAAGAGAAAATATATTTTCACTTGTAAATTGGTAGAGCATCAACATCTAAGAGCCTCCTATAAACTTTATTGTATTTACTTATTATAAACTTAATTCATAGTAAGATAACAAATCTTTGTGATTAATAGAAACAGGAATCTGATCTAAATACTTAGAGATTTAATGGTTCTAATTTTATTTTGACATTTTTCCAGCAGATGTCGCTATTAAGTCTCCTAAACTTGCATATCAACTCCCATCCTCAAGAGATGGAAGGAGCTAGGAAAGAGGAAAGGGGAAGGGAGTAAAAAGAGAATTAAGATGTTTTATGTATATGTACCAACTCCCCAGGAGGAATGTAATCATCATGTACTACAAACATGTACTAATAAAAAATAAATAAAAACTGAATAAAACCAAGAACTGAAATACAGAATATAAGAAATAGGCATTTATTTAATAAAATATATAGAATG